AAAAGTTCTGTTTTCTTATACCTTCTCGAAAACTGACTGTACGTCAACTCAATTAACTTACAAACGAGTCATAGTTAAGTTCATCATCATCAACAACAACATGATGACCATTTATTTAACTACGTTTCTGCTTAAGAGAGGATGTCTCGTTTAGAATACGTAAGAGAAATTCATGGTACAATTGTAAATCATCAAAAAACGAACGAATAAATAATTAATTAATCAGTTAATTAAGTAAGTAAGTTAGTAATAAGAGTATATTACACTTTACCTGGCAAAAGGGATAGTCAATCTGTTGAGATGGCGAGTTGCTGCTCGTAAACACAAGACTGTCAGATAAGGTGAAGTTATCGACTCGAAGGTTTGTATAAGCCATCCAGTTCTACAACAATGAAAAAAAAAACGACATTCAAGGTTATTGAGTCAGTTATCCAAGGAATGGGACCAGTTCCTGTAGAAGTTCTACTCAAGTAGGAACCTGATTATAATTTAACAAAACGAATACTGAGCCGATAACCTAAGTATATATTTGACTACCTTTACTCATGTACACATGGTAACAGAGATTTGATTGCACTGGCAGTTTTTGTTTCTTTTAATTTGGTTTTTGTTTGCTTTTTCACCAAATGTCTTGAGGGTGGTTCTAAAAGAATCAATTACTTTCTTATAACTGTAGGTATTGTATACACATATTTGTCCTTTCTTATGTAATTTAGGCACTAATAAAGGAATAACTGCGAGGAATGATATTTCGAAGCTAAAAATGTATGGTTAGTTCGACTATATATTTTTGTAAGTATTCTGGTAAATCTGTATACAGTACAATATATGTGTAGCTAAGAAAAGTCGATGCACTTGGATAAAAGTATTTTAACTCTGCTTACAATAGTAATGCCTTTGTGAAGTCCGTCAAAAATCTTCACTTCCCTAACACAGATTTTAAAACTGTCTTCGGTCAACTCCTCGACCCACACTGCCATGGCGTCTTGAGGTCTCTCAGGAAACTGGTGACTAGGAGTCGCAAGTACGATTGGAGGAGTCGCAAAACGCTTTAAATAAGGAAAGAAAAAGGATGAATGAGTTAAAGGACGCTAAAAAAAACAAAACAAAAAAAAAGACAAACGAAATTTACAACTTATTCATCACGGTGTAAACACCCAAATTTATAATCAGGGACCGTGACTTAAGTTACGTCGAGCAATCTAGTCAACAGTGCTTCATCTCTGTACAACAACAACAGCAGAACTGAAACAACGACAAAACGAATCTTTCTGATTTATTTACGCGCGATTCATAATATTACACGGACTTTCACCCACATACAGAAAAAACTTCTTTTGGAAGGAGACATTCACATTGAAGCCGCGAGAAAAGAACAAAAATATTTTACAAACAGTACGAGCTATCGTAAAATATAATTACTTTGTGTAAAGTTATTTAAATAGACCAATTCGGCTAACTCAATGTTGTACCCAATTCAAACCCTTTGGGTTTAAAACGTTTTGTTTCAGGAATTTCCATACCATTTAAATGTGAATGCCACATAATAATGCTTTAATGCTTTTAGACTCGTATATATGGGAGTGTAATAATCAAATACGGATGAAAGAGTGATGAGAGGGTCTGAGGTCGTGGACGGGGGGGGGGTAGGTAGGTGATAATATGCATGGTTGGGCTAGTGTTGGTCATGGAGTGGACATCTGTCTTAGTTATAATATTGCGCATTCCAAAAAAGACAAAAAAAAAAAAAACAGACAAACAAACAAAACACAGGAAGACAAAGAGGGAGAGCCGCGTAACAAAAGATCACATTACAAAATACGTTGTATCATTGTACTAATCGTTCTGAAAACAAATTAACGATTCACCTTTTAGACTTTTATCGTCATTTCTCGTTAAATCATGAAGTCCGTGCATAACAGCATGTATCTAATTGTAGGTAATTGAACTTTCAGCTTAAGTGACGTCAATTTTCTGCCTAAATTCATTGACTGACAGCTGGTTAAGTTCCTTGAGAGAAATCGCATTTGCGGTCGTGAGTTACATCTTTTGACTATACCTTGCATGACTCACCAGTTTCTGCCTTTTAAAGATTAATCCTGCATGGGCACCTTGTAGGTAATCCTAGCACAAATGAACGTACCTGAGGAAAGTCGATCTTTTTACATTCTGTCCCGGTAGTCCAAGAGTCCAGGGAGGTGGTTCCTACTTGTGCTCCTTTGGGAGCAGATTGTAGGGCGATCCAGTTTATCTCAGCAGTTGAATTTGAGCCGTTGCTGTACTCGTAGATACAAGCGCGGAATTGAGTTCTATCTGCCGATTCCACCCAAATAGCAGCACCATTACCACGGGCCTGGTTGTTAACTGAGTGACCAAAGGAAGCAAAGACTTTTACTTGCTTTCCACCAGAGAACGATTCAGCAAATGTGATTGTCTCACAAGCGAACAACCCTGTGCTTTGCACAGTGACGTTGGTTTTTCCAGCTTTCAAACTGGTTGCTATTATAAAGAGAAGAAAAGTGTCTTAGTAAAAGTAAGCTTCCGTTGCCTCTGGGCTATTTACGGTGGCTGCAGTACATATTTTTAATAATTTCAAAACGCCTTGAGCGCAATGGCCTTGAACATAGTTCCGTAACTTGCGCTTTCCTTGTGCGCCCCACCCCCGATTCCTGCATCCCTTCTTGAAATGAATCTTTCATGAATTTTACCGCAGAAAATAACCATGCAAATATCAGCATTCAAAAGCATATCTCAAAACATTTCAATAAGCAAATAATTCATGGTACCTTGACTTCCTTGAGCAAGAAGCACAGCAGTGCATACCGTGTAGAGGACAAACGGAAGGTGTTGTTCTCCCACCATCTTGGCTTAACTGAGGAAATGCTCCCTCTTATACGAGTAATATACAGATTGTCTTTACGTGAAGGCATCATTTCTGTTGCGTGGACAGATGATGGAGCAGTAAAGCACCAAATTACCAAAAATGGACAAAATTTATCAAAGTCCTGAAGTTAAGGTCGAGTAAAGGGGGGAAACACTCGTAGGAGAATTGGCCTAAGTATTGCAGTAAATCATTCTGATTTCACAGAAAAATGACCAAAGAAAGAAAGAAGGTAGAACTTACGTGAACTCCCTCAGGCCCCTTTTCCCTCCAAGTATTTCTCCCCCTCTCACTGTTTTGCCCCTTAGTGGTTTAATCCTGACGCTTTGAATAAACATCTTCCCTCCACTTATCCATCCTACTAAGTATCTGTCCCAAAAAAATAATGGTAATTTTTGCATATACTTACCTTATTCCTTTACCTTCCCCTTTTCCTCTATGGACAACTTCTCCAACTGCATATTAAATGTTTCACTGTAACTTTTCGCTTTAATTCAACGTTCCCGTGATGTACTATTTTTCTTTGCTAGTAAAGTGTCAAGAGTTGCGCAACTTCTTTTGTGTCTGATATTGCAAAGGTCATTGACGGTTTATTCCCTTTTCTCAATATGTGCACAGAAAATCTTGATCATCAAGAAGAAGTAAAAATAAGTTCAATCGCTGCCATTCCATAGCCATACAAAGTGATTGTTTAAGAAATGCATTACCACTACCATTCCATGTGTCAGTTTTTTCCCTTTGTTTCTCTGTGTGTAAGTGTTGGAAGCTAAGACAAGATTATAGCGTTCAATCCTTTTAACGAATTAAGCTTTCCAAAGCTTTTAAACTTTTAAGTATGGTTTGATATTTGTGATGTCTGATTTAGACCAACAAAGAAGTAGGAGGCTACTAAAGAAAGTTGTTTCTCCAAAACTGAATAGTTTCAATTTAGATGAAAATGCTAGACCATTCGAGTCCTTCGAATTCATCCCTTTTGAAAGTGACACCTAACAGAAAAATCCTTGAAGGACTGTCCACAATCCAAAGCTGAGAGCTAATGGCGAGATTAGATCGCACAAGTGGCGGTTCCATCCCCAAAAAAGTGACTTTAACGTACCTAGCTACCTCCTATTCCCTTGTTTGTACTTCATCTACCCAGCGCTTTCAACTTAACGCGGGATTTGTTTTATACAGTACGCTTTTAATCATTTTTTTTCTGATAAAGTAAAAAAAACAGTCTAAACGACCAAATATATTTTACCAACCTTGGGTGGGGGCAGTGTCATAATTTGAATAAATTGAAGTTCACGCTGTTATTCTAAGAGAAAATGGTCATTTGAAATTCCTGCTAACGACGCTTGCGTGATTTGATTCAATCTTTCTCAGTACGTTCTGGTTCATTTTTCTTTTCGAAAATTTTTAATATGAACTTTTGTTAGCACTATGTACTTCCCAATGTAACCCCAGTGTATTTTCATTGTGTTTTTACAATAACTTTTAGTAATCTGAACTTCAGGAGTAAAGGAGAGGGTCATCCCTAATGACATCAAAGCCACCCGCACTGCACGAATTGCCTGTTTACTAAGGCAGCGCACGTTTCCAAATTTTTGCTTTAGTCTTGATTTTTTGTCTCCACGTTTTCTTTTGTATTGTACATTTTAACCGATTATGACTCGTAAGATCATCTAACTAATCAGTTACTGAACGGTAGCACCGAAAATCCAGCTTATGAGTAAGCAAACCAGGCCGCTTGCATTGCTTCAATTGTTGAGGGGGGCGTAAGGGGGGTACGAATACCGCAATACCGCACGTGGTAGCGCGAGAATACCACAATACCGCATCAAAATTTAGCCAAATACCGAAACCGCAGTTACAAATGGGAAAAAGTTGACGTTGTCAATACTACAAACCCTCCTTTCAAATAGAAATAATACTTTTATGTCAGTGTTTCCAAATCAAGGTGCGTCGATGTCAAGCGTACGATAAACATAAGATCATCGCACTCGTTTAGCTTTGTTTATTACATGTATACGTTTACGTAAATGATACAACAGGAGTTTTCTAGTATCACTTTATATATTACTGGACTTGGATCATAAACGGACGGAAAACAGTTGACTCTTGGTTGTTTCAGATTCACAATTAACTCGGTTCTGTGTTGAATGTTTCAAAACGACGACCCGGGCTGCCTTTTGGATTCGAAGGGCACACAGTACACACTAGCCTGCGTACCATGGCGGTTTTGGTTAGGCGCGCTAAATAATAAGTCGAAATAAGGCGGGCGCGGGCGAGGAGATTGGGGCGGGAGCTGCTTCGCCGCTCACGGTGGTGCTGCCGACAAAACCATGTAAAACTACCATGCCCGGGGTGGGGGTACTTGGGTTAATATTTGATTGCCGCTGGCCTCTCAGAGCCCCTACCCCATTACAGTCTATTCTGTGGCCAATTATAGACCCCATCTTAGTCATTTGAACAAATATTTAATTTTCGCGATCCCAACTTCGTCACTTTCTATTTTTATGAATTGACCTTGTTTTAGATTGAATGAAGAACACTTTACTTTTCATCTACAATACAAACATTCTGGTACCTTTGCTAACCGTAAATATGAGGAACTGTCTTACCCCAAAAAAGCAGAAAATGTGCGACCCCATTCTAAAAAAACTCTCTGAAAATGCGACCCCATTATAGTCAATCCAGTCGTGAAAATGCGACCCCATCCAGCGACACATCCTCATTAGCCTCTTATCAGGAAGCAGGAAGTACCCCCCCCCACCACCACCACCCCCGAGATGCTATGCTACGTAGGGTAAGCAGGGTAGGGTAATTCCTGCATGCACAACGAGAAGGACAAGTAGTAATTTTTAGACCACGCCATCTTTATAGATTATCTTTCTACACTACGCAATTTATAACGATCTCACTGACCTCACTATTTCCTGGAATATCTGACTGATCACTTAGTTGACCCCGCTGGATCGCTCTCTATTGTTTGGCGACTGGCACAAAAGTGGTGGTAAGATTGGTTTAAAGGAGGTTAACCAAGCTGACTATTCCTACAAGGTCCATGAAGTCATAAATAATGCGACATGTTTACGTATTATTGGATGAAAAAGTTAATGTCGTTAATCATATCAAGTATTAACTGAAATTAGAAGCCATACGATTTGTCTGCACTGTTTGCGCAATACAATCCCCGACTGTGCACACAGGTCACGCAGGCTAGCCAGGGAGACCTTTTAGGATTTGTATCCTCTTGTCATGAAAAAGAAGCAGATCACCGCGACACAAAGGTTTTTTCACCGACTACCGCGGCGTAAAATTTAAACTTACCGCAAACCGCTTGGACTCTGAAAACCGCAATACCGTACTTTGAAATAAAAATTACCGCAACACCGCACCAAAAATGACCCAATACCGCAATACCGGAAACCCTTACGCCCCCCTCATTGTTTAATTTGGGCCTCTGAGCCCTAGAGTTTTATAAGAGACAATTGTGGGCCTGTTTAATCCTCTCTTAGTTCCTGCTATATCATGTTATGACATAGCACATGCATATATTGGCCTTCCTCAAAACTTTTATCACGGTAAACCTGAGCACGTCACAAAAAAGTTAATGGGGGAGGAGAGAGGATTGTGAGGGGTGGGGCTGCATGGTTTATTAAAGCTCAGGCATTCTACAGTCTTAAGAAAGTATGAATAATGAGCTAACGACACAGCATAATAAGGTTGAACTAAGGAAGCCAATAAATATACCGTAAAAATAATCGCTATGGTGGAACAATTTAAACTTAATTTTAATTTAAAATTAAAATTGCTTATGATTAGTATGTGTATCATGGGTGACCAATTACGTTAGCAATCGAGGATTTTTAACTTATTTATGCTGGATCGTATCGATCGATCGTGAACTCCACTCTCCCAAACGTTTAGAGCTGAAATTTGGCTTAAGTTTACAGAATTTTCCGACAACATACCTCTAAGAATCCTTCTTGATATGCTCTTTCGCGTGTTCAGGTTTTCTAAAGCGTCTTTTGATGCCCTGACCACAGGTAACCCAGGCTCTGTGATAGTACCACAGTACGGTTCCAGTAAAATTACAGTGTTTGTATGGGGTAAAAATATCATCTTAAAATTTCTAGGAAATACTAAATAAAAATCAATGAAACTTACTCTGCAGTTAATTGTTGTTGTCCTTATTGCTCCAACGAAGTTTCGTGATAATTTGCAGTAATTTGTTCAAATTCACCCTATCTACAATAATAATATACAAGGTAGGAAACACGAGGTGCCATTTTCGCCGACATGCTCTCATTCAACACAACTTTTTCCACGAAATTCGAACTCCAACGGAAAATAAACATGCCAGGATCGTAGAAATAGGATAGCAGCAGATATAGAAACCAATGAAGCTTTCCCAGATAGAGAAACGAATCCCACAGACTTGGACAAACTCGAAGAAATTAATCCAAACACACCGAGAATACGCTCGCCGAAGCAGCCGGGCCAGATCAACGCGCGGCCAAGAAAATGAGGCCTGGGCACTGTACAAAAAAATTCCATCTCAGGAGTCCTGGGGTGACCTTTCTAGGGACCGATACATCATTTGCCCAAAGCCACCCTCCCCTGCTGGAAAAATA